CCATCCATTCATGAACTGCACATGAGACTCCAAGGAGCTTGGGAACTGTTTTGAAGTATAGGCGCTCACTCATCAGTGCTCCACTCATTGTTTGGAACTTATTATGGATCCAAATGATTAATAATGCGGATTTTGTCAACATACCGGTCCATGGCTTCTCTATTTAACGCGTCCCGGTAAATTCCAGATCTTTTTCTGGATTTTAACATCTTTTTTTTCTCTCACAACGTTGTGTCGGAGCGATGCTACGGTATAAGAGCTATGCTATCAGAGCATAGCATTCAACATGGCCGCCATGTCCCACAATGCAATGCGGATCCCGAGCCCTATTTGCATGTTTTATAAACATAAACCAGGCTTTGTTGGGCTGCTGGATAAAACCTGGAACTCAACGCTATTTCTGACATTTTGAATTGAAAAAGCTTCCTGGATGGAAGAGAAACGTCTTCAAACTTGGAAACAAAGTCCAGTGGATTGATTTTAACTTTTTTGGAACGATTATGACCTGGATGACTGAGAATCTTCATCAACATGACTTTTTATATCTCCTCAGCCACCTAAACCAATGTTTAAGTAGAAAGCATTTTTGTTGCTTTAGATCAAAAAAATCTTTAAAAAAAACGACACTGAAGTGCTAGCATCCCTATGGGATGGTCAGTGCAAATTAGCATCATGCTAACCGTTAGTTGTCTGTGTGGTTACAGTGGTGTAGCATGCAGCAGCTCCTCCAGCACCCAAAGTGCCGCCTGTCGGCTCCTTCCGTCTCTGACTAAATTGGAAAGAATTTGCTTTGAATCTTTCTTTATGGTTTATAGTTTGATTTAACCTTTTTATAAAGTGCCTTGATGGATCCTGTTGTGAATTTACACCGTTAAAACAAACAGAATAAAACGATTGGCTGTATGGAGAGATAAATGGCACAAAGGTTTAGCAGCTCAAATGTCATTTTTTTAATAATATTTTAATTCATTCTGTTTCAAACACACCAGTATAGCAGCACATGGATAACATTTCACATTTAAAAAAAGTTTATTATAATTTGGTGAAACGTTTTTCCTCTTTTAGATTTACAATTCTGTGGCTTTTATAGGCTTGTGACTTTGACTGAGTCGGTGGTTAAAGAGCCTGATAGAAACAATAGACTTAGTTTGCATCGACCCTTATTTCACCAATGATAGAGTTCATCTGTGTTTGGGTTCTTTGTATCAAAATAATAATGATTAAAAAATGAATTCAACCATATTTATGTAGATGAATAAAATATTGAGCAGCTTTGGAAAAACACAAATAACTTCTAGATTCAGTTCTTTTTTAATAGGGATTTAAAATAAAGTGATTCAGGATTGACATCAATATTTTCCATGTTACTCTAACTGGAATGAAATAATATGACAGAGATCCTTTCACCTTACTTTGCAGAGGTTACAGCTTCAAAAAACAAAGACAAAAAAAAAAACGATAAATAGAACATCCTGTGAAACACAATGCCTGGCCAAAAGGTGAGGAGCATCTCAGCTGGTGTTTCACCAACAACAGATTCAACCTGTTTGATGCAAAATGTTCAGAACAAACTGGGATTAATTGGAGGGAGAAAGACTATTTCAGGTGCTTTCAGACCATTTACACACAGACCAACTATTACTGAGATTATAATGTGCTTTAAAGACGTCCGTCTAACTTTGTATTTCTTGTAAAAATTGGTAAAAACAGCAAAAAAAAAAAAAATTATGGAAGAAAATAAAAAATCCTTTTGGCCAGGCATTGTAGAAAATAAGTGACTGGTTCACAATCATCTTCACAAGCACAAAGGTGAGTCAGAACAACAAAACACTCCCATATACGTTAGTCTCATCCAGGTTTTTTTATCTTTAACACAACTCATACTTAGAGGTTTGCACAAGAGAGAAGTGAACAATAGAGGGACGTCACCTTGGCAACCACTTCTATTTTCTAGCCATCAGAGAGTTTAGCTCAGTAAAAGTTAGCCCACCTGCCATCAGACCAAAGCTCAGTCCTTCAGTCATAGAGAATAAGGTTTGCTGTTGATGTCGGGCACATCAGGTCAAAGAAAACACACATTCACAACACATGGATCATAGCAGCTACTGGGACATTCATACAGTCCACCATGATGGCGGTTACATGTTCTATATGCTGATAAATATTCAACCAAAGACATTCCTATACAGGTTTAGTCACGTTTGACACATCAGGACGATGAAATGGATGAACACAGCTTACATTAACAGGTCATCATTTCATGTCTTGGATCTAAAAGTTTTTTGTTTTTTCCTACGAAATGCTTCAGATCCAGAACCATAAAAACATTTTTAGGTTTTTCTCAGTTACATGAACACCGCATGATAGAAGATATATCATCCAAAATGACTGATAAATAATAATCATGAGATATGTTGAATAAAAATACTCTTGGTTAATTGAGCTGGAATGTTCCGAGCCGATCCCAGTATCAGCCTGTGGTCCAATTTACAGCATGACATAAAGACTCAACCGCTGTCGTCATGCCTGATCTCCATTCCTCCAGGAAGATCATTTGTAGCTAATTTAGCAAGAATAAAGAAAAGCCTATCTTCCAGTTCTGCTGCAAATTTAAATAATTTCCGATGGTCTCACATATTTGTCTAAATTCCCCATCCATCTTCTCGCACTTTTTTAATCTTCTGTGTTGGAATAAGGGTCGTCGTGGGGTTGGTGCCTATATCCACTGGTCTTTGGGTCATCTGAGTCTGCTTCTGCTGGAGGTTTCTTCCAGTTTTTCCTCTCCACTGTCGCTACAAGCATGCTTAGTGTGAGGGATTGCTGAAGGGTCAATGAGTCGATGCAATCAACTGGTTTCCCTTAGATAGAAAACTTTAAATCAATTTGACTGTTTCATCCGGTGAACTGGAAAGTGACCTGAGATAACATGTGATGTGAATTGGAGCTATAGAAATAAACTGAATAGAATTCTATGTGTGAGAGGCGGGTAAACTCTGGAGGCTCTCCAGTCTGTAGCAGGGCAACACAGAGACGTACAACCATGCTCACACCTAGGGACAACTTAGAGAGGCCAACTAACCTAAGAGTCAAGTTTTGGACTGTGGGAGGAAGGAGGAGTACCCAGAGAGAACCCATGCAAGCACAGGGAGAACATGCAGACCGGGAATCGAACCTGGAACCTTCTTGCTGAAAGGTCCCCGTGCAGCCCTCTCTATCATCAAATTTAGCAAAACTGGTACATTTGTTTTGATGCAAAGCTATAGCAACCACGAGGAGGAAGCAGCAAGAAGAAGAAAGAGCAAGAAGACTTTGAAGTCATTCATAATCATTTCACATTATAAGCAAAGTGAAATGACTTCATCTAACTTCCTTAGCAAAGAAATTGGACCCGATTCAAAGTGGAGTGAAGACTTAGACAGAATGTCTGGGATGCTGTATTGTGTGTTCTACTGAGACATGGCTTCAGGAGAAAGTGTTTCATCCTGGGCTTTCTGACCATACAAGTAGAAAGAGGGTTAGGAAAGCAGAAGCAAGGGATGAGGCTTGGACATGTTACCGTTAAGTTTGTTCCCTACAGCCTGGATATTGATCTGTTGACCAGCAGACTTCATGAGCGTTATTTTGGCTGCCGTTTATGTTCCACCATCTATTTTTTCTTTTAATATCAGCTGTGCTGCTGCCATCAACACCTTTGTTTCTAGATGTTGGAGCTTGGCCTGTTTTCCAGTGTAGTCCTGTTTCTCTGACTGTGACTAACTGGATGTGCTCTCTTCATCCTCTGACATGGGAGCTGGCTCGGAGCTCGTCTGCCTGGCTGTGTGTTTCCTGGACGGGGCCGCCTGTGGAGCCGGTTGACAGTTGCCTTTTGTATCTATGCTTCTTTTTCTATGTCTGCTTCTGTCTCCTTGAACCCCAGTGGGCCTCAGCAGATGGCCGCTCACACTGAGCCTGGTTCTGCTGGAGGTTTCTTCCTGTTCAAAGGGAGTTTTTCCTCTCCACTGTCGCTACAAGCATGCTTAGTGTGAGGGATTGCTGAAGAGTCAATGAGTCGATGCAATCAGCTGGTTTTCCTTAGATAGAAAACTTTGAATCAATCTGACTGGATGATCTGGTTGAATTGTCTCTGGAAAGTTTCTTAAGATGGCATGAACTGAAGTCCACCCTGTCGCCCCCCTCACACTGTCGCCCCCCCCACACTGTGGGACCGCCCACACTGTCGCCCCCCCACACTGTGGGACCGCCCACAGGGGGGCGTGTCCTGCTGGCTGAGCCTGGACTGTTCCCTCCTCACTCCTGTTGGCCACCTGAGCTGCATAACAAGCAGCTGCTGTTTATTTATCTCTTGAGGCCGGTTGTGTTTCTTTGCTTCAGTTGTTGGTATTTTTCATTCAAATTGATGTTTAATATCCATATTATTTTAGAAAAAAATGCTTTCTAAAGTGTTTCCTTTATTTTTCATTTATTTATTTATTTGCTGCTATCATTTTATGACGATAGCAGCAAATCAGATATTTTTGTTATAAAGTACTGGATCGATTTTCCGTACCATCTGACACGCGGCTACGTCACAAACAGCGAATCCTGATCAGAACATCCCACATTTGGAATATATAATTATAAAAATAGAAGGAAGTGATTATTAAATAAGAAAACATGGTTTAGAAAACTTAATGTCGGCTAAAATTATATTTTTTTCTTGAATTATTTCTTAAGAGTACAAAACATTTATTTTTAACTTCTGTTTTGTTAAAGTTGTAGAATAAAAACAAGTAGAACAATATATGATGACAGAGAAAGTTGTAATACATAATTAAATTTCTCTTAATTATGTTTAACCTCAAAACATGGCGGTAAAATGAAAACATGGAGTCAAGTTGCATAGAGGACTGTTGGTCAAAGAAGAAGCATGAGGACCACTGTGACGGTCTAACAAGGGATGGATTAAATATGTTTATTTTCACATATTTAAAAAAAAAAAGAGTTAACATTATTCAGATGAATAACAATGTTTGGAAATTATAAATAGAAATGGCTAAAAATAAGTGCAGCACTTAATAAGCAGTAATTAGAAAGCTGCTAATTGAACCTGATGCTATATTGAGGTAAACAGAATGAGGCTGAAAGCTGTCAATCAGCCGTCCGCTGAGGGCGGGTCGCTTTGACCGTCTGCAGACAGCGGCATCATCCTTCCATTTGTTTCAAAGTTAAACTCACATGAATCTGGATCCAGATTGTCAGGAATGTGCCTTGCAGCTGCTATGACTCTGTGCTGATGCCCATTCAGAAATAAATGCATTTTCAGAGTGCAGGAGATCAACGTTCACTCTGTACATTTTATACGCACACGATGATACAGGTAAAAATGAGGATGCACTATGTTAGAGGACTTTGCCTGAGAAATAATGGTGTATACTTTAATATTCTCAACCGATCGTCTTAAAGGATCAGTTTCTTCTGTTTTGCATACAACTGTAAAAATACAGTGAAATTCAACAATCACATTGCATTATTTCCTTTTTTGTCATTCACTTAAAAAAGCTTACTGGTACTGTACAGATATTGAACAGAAGTCACACAATAATAGTATTAATCTGAATTTACACTTCAATATTGGGCAATAAACAGTCAACTATTAATGATAACACACAGTTTTTTTTTCTTTTTTCCCATTTCACGTACAAAAAGGTTTGGAGACACACAAGCTCTGTAGTTCTACCATCTTCAAATTAGTGCATGTTTAAACGCTTCCCTTGTTTTCATAGTTGCCTTTCACTCTGGGTGAACCTGGAAAGAACAGACTCGGATGTAAAGCCAGAAGGAAATTAGAAAGAAAACAAAGAGTGAACCGCGGGCATTCTTGGTTTCTTCTTCTTGTCATAAGGACTAAATCGTCTGTTCTTGCTGTTCGCTGCTGTGAGAAGCTTAAAGTGAAGGTCACAGGTTTCATCAGAACTTGAGCAGGTGGAATAAGGTTATCGTCAGCAGGAGGCAGAGAGAACAACAGGAGAAGATGGGCGTCCCGTTTACATCATGCATCGCTCCAGGACCTGAAGAAGAGAAACAATTCAGCTGTTAACGTTCCTGTTTAGGCCGGAAAACACCGCATTTTACCTTCTTTCCTGCTGTCCTCCCCAATCAGCAGCCACACCTCATTTACCTCTATTATTGCAGTAAAAACATTGATCAGCCTGTGGAATCAGAGCTGTTACTACGATCCTAATCTGACAGAGGTGTTCAAAGTGTTCATGTTTATTCCTCCGGTTTAAATCCTGCTGTTTAAAAACACTTTTATGGAAGTTAGAGGATCAACTTCAGCTTTTTACTCCAGTAAAAGTGTAAAAGTTCCATTTTTGAAACTTCTTAAAGCATAAAAGTAAAAGTAGTGCAGTAAAAATTTTAAGGCCAGAATGTTGGAGACGATTCTCAGTCATTCAGGTCAGAGTCACTCTAAAAAAGTTCAAATCAATCCACTGGACTTTGTTTCCAAGTTTGAAGACGTTTCTCTTCCATCCAGGAAGCTTTTTCAATTCAAAATGTCAGAAATAGCGTTTAGTTCCAGGTTTTATCCAGTAGTCCTGTCTATGTCTCTGAAAGGGGGGTCGTTAAAGAGAATTGCTGGCCTGGCTGAATAGCAGAGGTCTTCTGTTTGTCCAGTGGATAGTTTTTTTTTTTTTTTTACTTTTTTGGAATGTTAAGGCCTGCTCTCTCCTATTAAAGTCACATTTTTCTATAATTCTGGATGGTAACTTCCTTAGACTCCATTTTCTTAGTTTTAAAACTAATGCTAACAGAGTCACATTTAATTTAGCATCATCTTGATAAACAATTTTTTTTTTTTTTTGTATATGGTGAGCAACAAGTTGGGGCAGCACCGAGTCCAACCACAAAGAAATTAATTGTCTGGATGAAACTAATTATCTTGATGGTTTTTAAAATTTCTTTAAATACCAACAGGATATAATGAAAAGTAGCTTAAATGAAACAAAACTATTTTCAAAATATAAGGAGTAGAAAGTTATCTAAACATAATTACTCCAGTAAAGAATAAATAACCAACATTTCTACATCAGTAAAGTAATAAAGTATTTCTACTTTGTAACTTTACACCTTCGTTATCTGAACACCTTATTGTAGATCGCTATCCATTGTTTTTATTTCAGATTTCTTGTGCTGGAATCAAACGGTTTTCAGAAGATGTTGTAAAATTTCCTGTATTTTTAAATAAAAAACCTGACAGATATAAATTATTTCTATTAATTTTCAGTTACAATATTTTGTATATTTGTTTGATTTTTGGACCAGAAGAACTCGTAGAACCGTGTGCGTTTCTGCACTAAACAAAGAGGTGCCTCACACTGCAATGGAATGAGAATCTTTACTTTTAGAAGAATAAGATAAAAAAAACGGCGCTTAAAATAAGACAATGCAATTCTTTTTTCTCATTTTAAATGTAAATTGTCTTGTTCCTTTGGTAAAGTTTTTATCTTACTTCCTCAATTCAAGAAAAAAATGACTTATTTAAAAAAAAAACATTCTTTGCAGTGATGTAAAAAAACACACATAGTTGGTTGTTTTAAAAAGAGGATAGCTTTCAAATATAAGCACATATTTCCATGTGTTTGCTATCAGTGGGCGTAAATGACAAGTTACATTTCATGGAACGTTTCATAGAAATAATGAGCTTTATAAGCTGGATAGTAGCTAAACTGCATGCTATAGATGTTAGAAAATATTTTTCCATTTCTATGTCTGTAGACATAGAAAGTTTATATATTTGGAGTAGGAATAATATAGACTGAAAAGTGGTTTTAATATTTATTAATTTTAAATACACTTCACTATTCATTGCATGAGGAAATAACTACATCCATGAGGAAATAAAGCCTTCTACACCTTTATGCAGTTTGAAGAAATGTGTTTATATTCTCACCATAAAGAATTATGCTGGCGTTAGTGATCCCCATCGTGTTCATGGCAACGCAGGTGTAGTTTCCATAGTCTTCTTCAGACACGTTGAAGAAGATGAGCAGCGACTGTTTGTCTTGAGTCTCTATTTTAAGGCCGTTTATTCCATTCAGCAGCCTGCAAAATAAAGATCACCCATCAGCTGCCATAACGGTTTCTAGTCTGGGAAGAAAGCCTCTTTTAAATTGCATAATTCATCATATTTGTAACAAACACATTTAAGCATAACAAGGCATAAGAATAAATAATACATGTGATAAAGTCTGTGGTTTCCCATATGAAGCAGCTCTACTGTAAATAGGCCTGTTTTTATAAAGCACCTTATAAAGTAAAGAGACTCTAAAGGATTTATATTCAGTTATTCCCTCAGATGTTCCCACACTGATGGAGGTGAGTTATTGTGTAGCCACCGCCGCCCTGGGGCTCACTGACAGGAAGTGGTGCTGCCGTACCAGGGGCCGCAGGGCGCTCTGATCACCATCAGGTGGTGCTTAGGGAAACGTCCAGCCTGACGACACAAGGACTGAAATGCTGGGATCAAATCTGTGACCCTGAGGTCACATCTCCTGCCTCCTACACCCGTTCCCCCAATATCTGCTGATATTTAGCATTTTAATCCAGAGCATCATTTCACTGCAAGGTTTCCTCATCAAATAAAAAACTGGACGTTATTCCACTTCTGTCCTGTGCTTCACTGATGGTGCGTTCAGGGTGAGTTTGTTTACTGAATCACTTTAAAAAAAATAAATAAATAAAAAACAGAATAAACAAAAAAGGTTAGGTGTGCTACTTTTATTGAGTCATTCAGATGTCATCTGGAAGAAGAAGAAGAAGAACTCCATTGTTTGCAGAATCTCACTGAGGTTCTGCTAAATCTGCATAACTTTGCTTCAACGGCTTTAGGGGAAGGATATTAAACATATTAAAACCAGAGCAAAGATGAAGTAAATACCAAGACTGATGAAAGAGTTAATCTAAAGAGTAATTCATCGGCACACGAATGAAGGCCTTCAGTAAAGAGGGAGGCCTTCTGAAACATCTCTGCATAGCCAGCTGCCGTGACGTCGCTCCACAACCTGAAGCTCGGCTGAAGGAAATGTTCCCTGATCCCAAAGGCAGCCTGTCGTTTAGAAAACTCCTCCCATGGGATCTGCTTGTCTTTCCAGACACATTAAAACCCATCAGAACTGTCAAAGTTACATTTTCTCGTCTGAAAATAAAACTTTTTCCACCTTCTGTTTGGTGATCTTGTTTAAACTCTAAAAGGGCAATTTTGTGCAATTGCAGGAGAAAAGGCCTTTGAAAACACATTTTTAAAACCTTTTCTCTCTGATGCTGCCTGATAGTTATAGAACTTCAGTTTGAACCAGTTGGAGCCTCCAGCTCGAGGCTGGGGAATTATTTCTGGGTGATGTTTTTGTTCCATAACCATCAGGATCTCCATAGAAGTATAGAAAGATGGTCTCCAGTCTCAGCAGCAACGACACGTTACCAATGATCGAGTTTATGAAGCTCAAAAATACAATCGCATTCTGAAAGCTGTTCTGTTTTTACCACCAGGAGGTCATGAGACTGGAAACCTGTCAGAAAATAATCCACAGAAACTGTTAAATGAGTCTATTCTTACATTTCCAATCACCTTAAATGGTTAAATGCTTGTTTGCAATAAATTGCTTATCTGATTTTATCTTAATCTCATTCCTTCTTTTTTTTTATTTGGAAGGTCTAAGATGCAACGGTTCAAAATGTTCATTCTTGCCATTTTTTAACTGGACCTAGATGTTTGATCAGGAGTGAGAGTTGAAATATTTGCATTTGAAAGTTTAAATATATTTGTGCAAAAGATATTTAAATGTAGAAATACTTTGTTAATCTCAAAGGGAAAGTAAATACTACAGTATAACATACTCCTAGTTAAATCTTACTTAACTACAAGTAAAAGTTACTCAGTCAACCATCAAAACTGTCATGATCGCAGGCCCCGTAGGGAATCCAGGAATCTACCTCCGTCATGACCCCACCCCCCCTAACGCATATATAGCAGAGGGAGCAGGTGAATAAGATGAATGATAATTGGAGAGCGGGGAGGGAACGGCAGGTGAATGAGGTGATTGATCAGAGAAGCTGAGATCATGACAGAGAGCCAACAGTTCAACATCTGGGCTGCAGCAGACATGTTCACAAGTCATTTTTTGCAAGTCCAAGTCAAGTCTCAAG